TCCGCGCCCGCCCTGCAGCCCCGCAGCCCGCGCTGGGTGGCACCGAGGACAGCGCAGCCCCGGGAGCCACCGCGCGCCGCCCCGCCCCCTGCCCGCCTTTTAATCACCACTAAGTGGCTTCCCCAGAGTTGGCCTGGGGCGGAACAAAGACCCGACAAAGGAGAGGAGAGAAGAAACCCGGCCTGGCTGCCGACCAAGTTCTCAAATGGGCATCCTTTTCTTTTCCTATTTTTAAATAATTTTAAATAAATATGCCTAATTCACATATAAAAACATAAAAACTGTGCACATTAATGGGGTGTCCTGTGATGTTTCCATATGTGTGTACTTTGTGTCACGTTCAAATCAAGTTAAACACGCATTTACATTCTTAAACGTTTGTCATTTTGTTATGGTACAAACCTTCAGAATGCTTTCTCCTAGCTTTTTAAAGCATGCAGTACATAACTGCTATTTTCTGGCCACCTTACTATGCAAGGACTCATCAGAACTCTGCCTCTTTGATAATGAAATCTGGAGAGCCAGGCACATAAACTGGGGGCGGGGACCCAAGCTTTTCCATGCATATACATAACCCAATAGACAAACAGTCTAAATACGCTGCAGCCCTTAAGCTGCAAGAAGGAGCCTGGCTTAATAGGAGCGATTTTCGAGCAGCATGACACAATGTCTGGTTCAAATGTACAAACAATTTTTTATATTTTTTATGTTCAGTCTTTAAGTAGAAGCTGATGATAATGTTAGTAGCTTTGGGGCCAGGAACTGTGCAAGTGTATGTGAATTATTTCTCACAGCAAAGCCAGGAGAGGGACAGAGTTTCCACACGATCCACTTAAAATACACTTATTTTTAATTGATGCAAGATACAGATTTATGGGGTACAGTGTGGCTTTTCATATAGGGATACAATACTAATGATCACATCAAAGCAACCACTGTGTCTATCACCTGACACAGTTTTCTTTTTGTGTTCTGTTTTTGTGGTGGTAGGGACTGAACCCAAATCCTGTACATGCAAGTTAAGAGTTCTACCACTAAGCTACATGCCCAGTCTACCTTTTTATTGGAAACAATCAAGTCTTCTGTGCTAGCTGTTTTGAAATATTCAGTTATTTGTGTCCTACTGTAATTATCCTACTGTAACAACTTTGATCTTTATAAAAGAAGGACCAGAGGCACAAGGCTTCATCCACAAAACTCACAGGTACCTTGCTGAATATGCATGGCGCTATGTCCTCAGAAAGGGCCACAAAGAGCTCAGCTAGGGAATGTCCTCATGAAAAATGTGTTTTGTCAGGTATTGGCAGGTGGAGGGAAGTATTTCAGTGGCCACAGATTTATGAAGTGTTATGAGTAAAATCTCAGCGTTAGGCTTAAAGGCTGAAAAGAAATGAAATGCTGAGATTCCCTGCTCCAAGACAGGTTTATCCCAAGACAAATCAAATTCAGTTCTTAGGAACAGAGATACAGCAAGCTTCAGTCGGTCATTCTATGCATGTAGTAGGAAAGGGACTCTCCAGCCCAAGGAGGGGTGCCTCTTCAAGATGCTGCGACTGTCTTAAGTGGCTATCATCCTTTTGGCCAGTTGTGCTTTGAAAGCCAATATATGAATGTGTGGGCTCAGTGCTATCCCATGGTTCCTCTTGCATGGAGCCAACATAGATTGAATTCTTCCTAGGGACTTATCAGCCTCTTCCCTGATGCAGAGGAGAAGGGTGACTTCCACTGCCTATCGATGGACAGAGCCCAAGTATTTGCATTTTTCTCTTCTCAAAGATCATGAGAATAGCAGAAAATATGAAAATTAAGACTAAATTGGTCCCATAGTATACTCTTAATAGAAATAATTTATCTTTTCTCCATACATTGTGAATTCTACAGAGGCAGAGATTCTATTAACATTTAGGAAAATAACACAAAACTCTGAGAGAAAAACTGTGGTAACATCTAAGGAGCTTTGAAAGAAGTTGGTCATGGTGAAATGTATTCTGAGTTTTCAGCTAGGCTTATGTAGGTAAAGGAAAGCTAGTCGTATAGAAAGCGTAACATGCCATCCAAATGCGGAGGGCTGCAGAGGACACTGGTGAAGAGACAGATGACATAAGGGAAGCACAGTGGAGCCTCATTAGTGTGAATCTTTAGTGTTCCCAACAGGCCCATCTGTTAAAGTGTGGTCCCTGCAGTGGCACTATTGCAAAGCTGTGAAATGTCCAGGAGGTGGAGGCTAAGTGGGAGACTTTTAGGTCATTGGTGTGCATGTGAAGGGGATCGTGGGGCCCCAGGCATGGTCAGCAATCTTGTCAAACTCTGTGTTCCCACCATCATGTGCTGCCTCATCACAGGCCCAAGAGCAGTGAGGCCAAGTAATCAGGGAGTGAACCCTTTAAAGCTGTGAGCTAAAATAAACCTATAACCCTTTCCATGTATAATTTGATTAGCTCAGGTATTTTGTTATAGTGACAGAAAGCTGACTAATAAGATTGCCTTTTTTCATTCCTGTGGAATGAACCCAGGGTCTTCACGCTGATTAACATGCCAGCCCTATTTATTTATTTACTTACTCACTTTCTGAGACAGAGTCCAGCTGTTCCAAACTGTCCAGCTATAACTCCCTCTTTTTGCCTCAACCTCCCAGAGCACTAGGATTATAAGCATGGGCCACCACATGTGGTAGACTTTACATTCTTGAAACTACAGGATGAGATAAGCCAAGAGCACACATAGCAGAGGATCCAGCTGAAGCTCAACTGTGCAGGGACTAAGTCTATTTGATTCCAAGGGCCTCCTCATGCCAAACGTACTAAAATTCACAATGAAATAAAATAATCAGTGATTATAGGCAGACAGCTCATCCCACCAGTTCCTTCTGGGGCTTGAGACAGAAATTGGGAGATGAGTCATGCGATGGGCAAAGATTGAAGACAGTGATGGATGGGCTTGGATTGTAAACCTTCAGAGCTGAACTGAACCTGGGGCCTCTTGGGACACACAGACCTGCTGGCTCTCCTGCTGACATCACTGTAAGGAAAGCAGGAGTTTTGCCCTCCCTAGTCTTTCTGATCTCCTCCCTCTGAGGAAGAAGCCACAGGGTTATGAAGTGGAGCTCATTCTCCAGCTGTGATGGCACCAATGGACCAACTTGGGTGGTTTTACTTCCTACATGGCCTTTTGCTGCCTCCAGAGGGGGTCTGATCCTTCCAAGGAAAGAGCATATTTAAAAAATAGAGATGATAACATAGCACTCAGAAACTATGCTAGCTATTTGGGGGAAATAAATTTAGAGTTTTATTACACAGCATGCACCAAAACAGATTTCAGGCAGGTTGAAGGGCTATGAGGATAGTAGCCATACAACCATAGAGTGGAGAAAAATACTGGCAAGTACTTGTCTCATCTTTGAATAGGACCTTCTGAGTCAAGAAGCAGTAGGAGAAAAATCACAAAGGGAAGTGCAGTAGGTAGTTATACATCTTAAACTTTGGTATAGTAAAAACCCAATTTAAAAATTAATAGTAAATTACAACATGAGGAAAACATTTGTGGTGTATATAAAATTGAGAGCTAATTTCATTGACTTATAAAACAGTGCTACATATTTATAAGAACAAATAACACAATAGGAAAAATGCAAATGACATGAATCAAAATAAGATCACAAAAAGAAGTAGCATGTTTATAAGATCAAAAATGCTCACTACAAACCAAATAAATTCAATACAAAGCAATTAGATGGCTTTGTTTTCTGTCTTAGAAGTGGTTCAAATAGGTGACACTATGTTCCAGCAGCGAGGATGTGCTGCAATCAACCCCCTGCTCTTTCATCTCGCCCATTTTTCCTTTCTAGAAGAAAAGTTGGCAGCAAATGCCAACCACCCTGAGAGTTGCATCCCCTTCGATGCAGTAGTTGTATTTCCAGGTGTGTATTCTAAAGAAACAACAAAGAAAATCTTTTCAAAGAGCACTAGACTGGACATTTACTATATACAGCACTAGAAAATCTTCTAAGACTTTATATCAATCATCCCATTTAATCCTTATATTAGGCTTAATTAGAAGTTTGCCAAATTACCCCCAGTAGGTATAAAGCCACAGGCTGAACACAAGCTTTTGGCTTATAAATCTTTTACTACTAAATTTAATTTATATAGTTAAATTAGAGTATATTAATATAGGAGACTGCTATGAAGAACACTAATTGTCATGTTTTACAAGAGTCTTTTTCTTCTCCTTCTTCCTCCTCCTCCTCCTCCTCCTCCTCTTCTTCTTCCTCCTCCTCCTCCTCCTCTTCCTTCTCCTCCTCCTTCTCTTTCTTTTGTCCTGGAATTCAGACTCCTGTATGGCAATCAATTGCTCTACCACTGAGCTACACCCTCAGACCAATAACCAGAGTTCTTAATCTAGAATATATGGATGAACCTGTAAAATGATACATCAACTTCTCTGTACAGGTGCTTTTCTGTTGTTGTTTTCTGGGAAGTGGGTCCATGGCTTTTCTCTGATTTCTGCGAGGACCCAAGACATTTTTAGGAGAATATTTCATAAGAAGGAAAGTCCTGTGATATAATCTTAAATGATAAGTCAAAAGACTATACTCTCACACATATATATTTATATTTAGTGAATATTTTATATATATGGAATTCTCTCAACTTATGTCTGAGTGGTAGGATTCAAAGTGACTGTTACCTTTGATTTCATTCATTCATTCATTCATTTTTTTTTTTTAAAACAGGTCTCACTATGCAGTTCAGGCTGGCCTTGAACTAACAGCAATCCTCCTGCCTCAGCC